AAAGATGCAATCAATGAGAGCAAAACATGCAAATGGTCTCCTGCTGTCAGCTGAGGGTGCCATAACTGCAAATGCCAGTCGGGGCTCCCAGGCCAGCTTGAGTCAAGCACAGCACTGAAACATTGGGTAGGAAACCCATTTTGACCCTTTTGACCCCAAAAATGAACTCAACGCCCTGTTAAAAATACATATGCGTGTAACAAAACTGTCGGTTTTAAATGCTTGTAACGCAGCCCTGGTCTTGCTGCCGTGCAGGAATTAAATACAAAGGACTGGAGGAAGGCACATGTGCCTCACCCCAAGCACTGTCTCCCCTCTAGGACAGGGGGGTCTTGGGGTGGCAGTTTGAGAAGTGGCCGCTGTTGGGTGCCTGCTGCCTACCCTGACCTGTGCCCGAAGCCCCGATCACTCGGGGGTTGAGCACCAGCTTGTCCATTCTGCCGCAGCAAAGAAACTGCAGGTGAGATCTGTAAATACATGCAATAAATTACTAAGCTCTACAGACTTTTTGAGAAGGTGTGTGCTGGTGCTCCAAAAAGTGGGTGATACAGCTTTTTATTAGTTGTCTTATGCTTTATCCTCAGGAGAAGGGAGCGGGTGCAGATGCAGCCATGACCCCCTCTCTGCACCAGCACTGCAGACAAGCAGCGCTTCTGTTATAACATTTAAAAAAATGAAAATAAGCACCCAAAGTCAAGCTATGATCTCAAATACCACCATCACACCCAATCTACTGATCTGCCTTTGTCTTCCGAACAATGTGCATAAATTCTTTCCCAGGAAATAAAAAGCTGCATATTCCTTTGATTTTCACCTCCAGAAGGAGTCCTACACAAGTCCCTCATTACCCTCCCATCCAGCCCAAAGTGCAACGCTAATCTTCAAAAGCACTTACGGCGTGGTGGCTGCTGTGGAAAAAAGATTGAACAGAGAAAAAGAGGGAACAGAATCTCTGCCAAGAGGGAACACAAGTAATTTTCTAGGATTACTTCTGTTTTATATTTGTGTATATATACACACACATATACATACATACAAGGTCTTTGTCTTGATTTCTGTGTGTAGATGTATGCATATACATGCATACACATATATAAGATGCAGGGCATATCTCACCCACTTTCTCACTCACTGCTGTTAGAAAACTGTTTAGGAAACCCTCTGTTCAGAGCTGGGAGGAGACAATGGCAGAAGGCTGGGTGCTCTGGTGCCATCTCCACTCCTCAGCACACAAAAATACGAGTGCAGTCCACGGTGGCCCAAACCCACAGAGGTGAAGATGTGCCATCAGTCAGGAGGACATGGCAAAGACAAAGAGTTCAAAGGCAGCAAGTTCTTACATTGCAAAGAGAAAATGTCTAAAGCAATCTGCCTTCAAACAAGACTTTCCCAGAAAAAGACAGTAAGCACTGGAAGATCTTCATATTGGCTCCATTTGCGGGGAAAGCTGATGGCACCGAGGGAAGCATTTGTCCTCCCAAGTAATGCTTCAGTGGCAGGATCTGAACACTTTTTTGGGAAAGGGGGAAGGTGAGTGTTACAGTGATTAAACACTGCGCCCCTGCTCCGCAGGAGACTTCTAGAGGTTGTAAAACTCTCAAATGCTGAACTGACAATCCAGAAAATGAATAAAATTAGGAAATACTTAAGCAGAGAAGTAGCAAAGAAACTACAATTTTCTTTTTTGAAAATTATGAATAGTCTTTGGATTGGTGAGTGTAATGTGTATTACACATTGAGTGTTCAATGTGTAATATCTAAAAAAGACTTTCAATCTCCCCCTTAATAAGAAATATTTCCTTCTGAAGTGTCTCCCTGAGACTAGGAACTCTTCACACACAAATCATGACATGATCAGAGTCCCCCAGAGTTACAATGCAACACCAGGTAAGAGAAAATGAATAGCTCTGACACAGGGCAGTAGCTAAATGCACTTTTAACATATTTAGCCATCTACAGTTATCAGAGTCTCTCAAAAATGCTTGGATTTTTTTGCCAATTTCTTGACAACATCTGAATAAAACACAGTTACTGGGAGGGACTGTGTATGTTTTGGGCCGGGGAGAGTTGTATAAGAGTCTTGCTGAGTTTAGGGGGGAAGCTCGGACTGCCTGTCCTCAGTTAGGTGCACATGTGCTATCCCACTGGACCACCTCAAACTACCTTGTAAAGGAGGTTGTTAAACAATGCTACTAACAGAAACACTTTTGCATTCTTTCCCATGAGCTGATCTTAGTTATTTGGGACTTGTAACATAAATTAAGACTTCAAAAGCCGCAGGCATGCTGAAGGAAGGTGCCTGGGCTAACCTATATGACACTGAATCGACATTTTTATTAGCCTTGGTGATGGCATGTTTTTGCTTTCAGGCAAAACCTTCCCATCCCTGTGGAGCAGCACACTTGCTCTGTGACATGCTGGAGGGGGCTTGCGGGAGCCGCTTGCTAGTTTGGCTCCTGACTTGAAAGGGAAGGACAGCATCATTTCCCACCTCGGTGCATCTCTGGATGCAACTAAATCATACCTGCACAAGGGAAGTCGCACAAGTCATCACTTGTCTTTGTTTTTCAATTGCCTTGTATGCTTTCTAAAAGTCCTTTACACACAGCCTTTATTTCAGGTCAGGTCTGTGTCCCTCCGGTCATAAGGAAAATCCTTAAATCTTCCTGCCTGTCATACTCTCTGTACCAGTCGCGGGGCTTTTACAACATTTGGACAGCTAGTGTGAAACTGTTACTTTGCAAGCTTCTGAACTAACATCCATTTTTCTTATAAGGGAGTCAATGATAAATTTTGCCCAAGCGAAAATGAATGCTTAAACCTCTTTAAAGTTATAAGTAATGCTGAAGTCACTGGTAAAGGACAGAAACCCAATACTTTGAGACCACCTGAATTTACATAAACAGCCTTGCTGTTTTCTGATACCTCTTCTCACGTTAAGCAGGATTACTCCTCAAGTGATTCACTGAAACCAGGGATTTTAAGTACCTCAAGGAGTAAAATATCATGAGCATGCATCAGTATGCTAAGATCAACAGGATCAAAGTGCTTACTCAATATAAGCAAGCACATCAGACTCTAGCTCTTTAATTTAGCATATGCTACTCTCATGGGGCAGTTCCACAGCTTGAAAATGTCAATGAGAGATTTTATTCCGCTGTACGTCTCTTCCTGAACTTTCTCTCCCCCATCTTTTTTGTAACACTGTTTTTCAACCTTCAAAACTACCCAGTTCTACAGTTTTGGTCCATTAAGTATTAGGGTATAAATAATAACTTAGCAGTTTACATGTATAGTTCGATACGGTCTTCCATAAGCTGATGCACCATGAAGTGTGGCTTGCTCCTCTGCCAAAGAGCAAGCAGCCAGTGTCCTACACCAAATTCTCATGTATGACTGGAGGGATGATGAACTACCTTTCTACAGGATAAAGAGTAGAAGGTCTTTGGACCAGCTAAATTTCTAGATGACTTCTTCCAGCTACAAAACAGACAGAAATTTTTCCCTTATTAATTACTTTTTCTGAAGTTTCTTCATAATTCCTCCCACTGTTTTAAGTCAAGCGTTTGTGTCAAGTTCTTTTGATCTTCCTCCTCAATTATAGTGAGCAATTACCCCCTCCACCAGGATTCTCAGCCACCTAGTCATTCTTACCTCTTCTTTCTCCCTAAATCTAATCCTTTTGGCTTTTTTGGAAGCTCACTATTCAGACAGTGCTACACGTTTCCCAGGCATCCAGCAACAATACGTCACACCAAGAACTCCACAAATATTAGCCTTCCCTTTCATTTGCCCTTCAATTAATTTTAGAGATGAGGTGCACCTATCATGACTTGGATCTCTCGCCTTTCAGGGGTCTTAAAGCCTCTGTCATCAAAAATGTGTTTGCTTTTATATCTGTATTTATAATTTTCCGTCCCAGCTGAAGAGTATTCAATCTTTCCTCCTGAAGCGATTAGTGCTGCGCTGCAAAGCCTTCATTCAGAGTACCCCCCACAGAGCTGAGGCATTTTTAGCCGGCTGCTTGACACACAGCAAAACCATCCCTCCCCTTCCCCATGGCAGCTCAATAGCAGCTGACAAGGTGATGAAGCAGGAATCTAAAAAGTGTGCATTTTTAATGTGCGTTAAAGCTTTTGGAGTCCTAGGGAGTCTCAAAGGGAAACTTATGTCCTTACTAGTGAAGGAGAAAATGCCAGAGACTGTTTGCACAGGAACAGACTTCCTGAAACTGATTCCAAAATATACGCACAGTTTTTCATAAAAGCATCATGTCAACCAGCACTACAGCCCGTGTGACATTTATGGCTTCATTGCACTAAGACACCTCTTCAAACATGTCTTTTTTACTATTGATGGCAGGAAAACTATGGTCTACTTCTCATCTCAACAAGCGTTGGGTTCAGAGATGGGGCTGAGCGCAGAGAGCGGCATTGCTTGGTGCAAAGAGCACAGCTGGCACACTTCAACCACATACCGTATCGTTCCTTGCACACCCACAAGCCTTTCTCATGTGCATGAGCACAGTCTTGCTGAAGCCAATGCTTTGGATGAACCACTGGCTTTTTGAGTGACTTCCCAGGAGCCCAGCACCCCTGGCACAACCTACAGAAACTGCGATCATGCCTCTTGTCAACCCAGGCAGCTGCATCCTTCCTCACCAACAGGATAAAGAAGGTATCAGTAATACATCTGTGCAAAGCAGGGATCACGTTAAAAGAGCTGTTTAACGGCAGCGACTCCTAACTTTAAATAGAGGCCACAGTTGGCTGCACTCCTCTAAAGCAAAGGGCATGGTCTGCCTTATGGTGACAAAAAGCAAGTCTTTTGTGAAACGTTAAAGCTGTGGTGAAAATTAAAACCATTACTTCCAAGCTTCTACATTTCCACAAGTTTCTTCTTTAAAGACAGGACGTGTAATGGGATTATCTTTTCAAAAATATAATTAATGACCTAATCTTTGTAACAAGAAATTTTGCAGTAGGTCAAGAATTAGTGAGGGAAATGGAATAATATTTATTCAAAAACAGTACTGTTCATCCATCATTTCTTGTTTTCAACTACTAAATGAGTAAGTACCTAAAAAAGAATAGCATTCTGCCTCATAGCACGCATCAAGTTTATAACTTTCAGTATCCACAAAATTCACATTTATTTCTGCTGGAAAAAATAGTGGCGAGCATGTTAGCTTCTTCAGATTGTTATTATGAAGAAGAACAGTAACTACTTGGACTGTATTTAATACATTTGAATTGAGATGACTGAAAAAATTATTACTTGCAGAAAAAAATCTGCAGTATCTAAAAAGAGGATTTTTTTCATTTAAATAGTTAGTGAATGTGTATACAGAAAAATTGTATTCCACTGTTTTCTGTTCAACCATTTACTGCTTTTTCTTTTTTTCCTCCGTTTTATCACTGAACGTGAAGAATAGGAGCAAGGCAATGACACGGGATAGACCCCAAGAAGAGATCACTGCAGGGATTATAATGGATAGCTCTTTGCCAGCAGTCACTGTTTTCCATTTGCACTTGCCGATTAGCTCTGACAGGCCAGAAGAACCCCAAAGTGTGATTTTGGTGTCTAACCCTATGAGGCACAACTATACCAAGCATTGCTCTGTGAAGCCTTTCATACCAAGGACATTCCCATTCCTGTAGGCACACAATTCAGAAGCCGGCAGCTTTGGCATTTTAAAAGCAAACATTGTTGATCCCAAATACCCAAGTTCTGGCATTATGATCAGCAAAAATATCACATGTTCTTCATCACACAATAATTCTTCATTCAAAATAATAATTCGTTGAATTGTTTTAAGTATGGATGCTAGATGCAGCAATGTAAGAATTTATAGTCACAGTCAATACATCAGTTAATTTCCTAATTGTAAGAATTTCTGCTAAATAAAACGTGGAAAGGCAATAAAATGCATGTTATTCAAATATAGACCAGTTAATAATCCATTCTGTTTCTATGTCCTATATCTCATTAAAAGTATTCTGTTTGCTGTATTCATTTGTTAATTGTTGGGGTTCGGTCATCCCACTCCAGCCCGAGCCCCCCTCTTGTGGCCGCAGGCATCCAGCCCTGGGAAGAGGCACAGCCCCAGGAAGGGCTTTCTATAGCAGGGGTGTATTTCTACATGCACCAGCAGTGGGACAAACTGGATTACAACAGTTCTGCAAGTCCTGGGCTGGTTCCCAGGGGTGTGAGGGCAAACAGGAGCCATGGCAGGAGGCAGTGCTGGGGACCCAGCCACTGCTCCTTCCTCGTCGCTCATCAAAGGAGGAATTGCTGCAGTGACCTTCGTCATTCCAGCTTTGCACTGAAAATGGGGTTTATTTAATATTGTTTCTATATATTTCCTTTTTTTTTTTCTTTTTTTAAACCCATGAACTGGGCAGTCAGCTGATCCAAGTGTTCCACACGCAAATAAAGATTTGATTTCACACCGCACAGATGTACTCCAGTTGAGTCACTGCCAGCTTTTAATGATAATCTTTCTTAAGAGCTATTTGGCAAGGTAGAGGTGAAGTCTCATGCTGCAGCAGAAAGCAAACCAGATGCTGTGTTCACCTTATTTTTCAATTACACATTTCCAACCTTCACCTCTTACTTGATGTCACCCTTCTGAAACAGGTTGCAACAGTCCTGGAGTTAGCCAGAAAGCCATTTATAAACAGCTGAGTGACCTCCATCATTTGCATCTTAAACAAACTAAAATCCTCCTGGTGCTGCTCCATGTCCTAACCATCAGAGGAAAGACAGACCCCGCAGAAGTAGCTAACAAACGAGGCACGTGTGCATATACATACACATAGATGTATATTGTGCAATGCCCTATGGATAAACCCTAGATTTTCAGGGAAGCCACAGAAGGAAAAATTAATTTTAACTAAAGCAAATCCATTTCTGCCATAACACCTCCACTTGCAATCAGTCAACAGTCCCACAACTACATCCTGAATCGGGTCCTTTCCTCGAGCTACTCACCTACCACAGGAACAAGGCTTCTGAGGAGGAAATGAAGTTCAGATAAGGTTGTGTTTACAGTTTTTCTTGGCAAACGAATATCTTCTGTTTCTCAGAACCTCACACTGCCAAATAAATTTAATACTTGCAAACCCTTGCAGGGAAATAACACAGCAAGCACAGGAATTTACAGAAGATGTAAAAGGCAGCTATAATCAGAGATATCTCAGCAGTAACACCACATAATTTTTATGTCATCTTTCAATCACAGTTCCCTTAATGCATCCTTGAAAAATAAGGACCGCATCAGTCAAGGCAGATTTAATAGCCAGGTAGATTTATACTGGAACAAAGCCAGAGGCAACTTCACATGTAAAATAGCAGTGTTTGGATTATTTTAAATACTATTACCCAGCTCAGTTTTGTTTTTAAACTGTATTAACAACCCCAGGGGATTCTGCAGCATCACAGACCCTTATAAGAGAAAAAAAAAAAAGGCTCAGTGTTACCAAAAGCACTTACTGAAATGCATTTATTAAAATAAAGCTGGCATTTTCCATCTTGCATGTGCTTAGTTAATGGCAGCGAGTTAATCGATAGCTCTTGCCTGCAGGCAGGAGACAGGCAGGAGCCAGGGGCCGCAGTGCCGGGCTGATAGGATGAGTGGCATTGGGGCAAAGGCAATATCCACAGATTTGGGGAGAGATGAATGTTATTTAGCCTCTTCTTTAATGGTCCCAATAGCAGAAGAAAGTCTGCCCTTAAGTAAGCCCCCATTAAAACTGATGATTGGATTTACTTCTGCTGAGCATGCAGACCAAGCAAAAGAGAAGTTTTTCTATCACAAACATTTCTCATGGCACAAAAACAATGCTTGCTTCCCAGTGTGTCAAAATGCCGCTTTATTAGGCTGTAGCTAATTAGGCCATGCCAGTGGTTTGTAACAAAACACATCAATGCCCTTTGCAGCTAGCACAGCCGAGCACAAGGCTGGCTCACATGCTACCACCTTATGGGATGCTTCAGAGGGGAGTGGGGAGCTGAAGAGAGCAGAAAACCACACATACCTCAGAAAGAAAGGGCAAGTAAATAAAAAACAGCTTGCAAGTGCTTTCTAGTTGGGAGGGGAGGACTCACAGGCTCCACCGTTCTCCCCAGCTCCAAAGTTTCGGTGGCTTCGTGCAGAATTCACCTTGAATGTTTCATGTCCCCTCCCCACATATTAATAACCAACAGATTTTTCTTGTACTGCAATCCTGGAAAGTTCAAACTTGTTAGCATAACTTTTTACCAAGTTTTCAAATCAACATGCGCAAATAGAATAAAGTTATCCCCAAAAAGCAGCATTTGGCTGTCCCCTTGGGATGGGGAAAATGGGGTGGTGGGTGCAGAAATGGGTTAGTACCATCCCTCCTGTATCTCAGGGACAAACTGTGAAATGACCTCTCCAGCCAACTGCAGAAAGGACCCAGCAGCTCAGTGAACACTCTCAGATATTCTGTTTGATGAGCTGCCTGCATGCGGTGTAGAGGGGATCTTCAGGGGAGGAGATGTGCATACATACCCATTCAGCTCATGTCTTGCTCAGGAAAACTCAACAGTAAGCCCCTCCCCTGAGCCTGACCCCCCAGTACAAGCTTGCAGTATGTTGCAATCTACTTACATGCTCTGGGGGGACATGAGGGTGCCGGTTAATTCAAGGGCAGATCGTATTTGGTTATTCTTTTAACAGAGTTAAGAAGTAGAATTCAAGTCCCGTAAGAAAAAAAATCAGTTGCAGAGAAATACATGTAGCAGTAGCTAAAGCAAAAATTTTGCTTACGAGCTCAATTCTTTTACTGTAACTTCCTGGACTGAGATTTTAGACTCATAGAATCATAGAATAGTTTGGGTTGGAAGGGACCTTTAAAGGTCA